TCTGTGAAAAAATCTCGTATGGAGACCTGCGAAGGAAGTGCAAATCGTGCAAATGAGAGGCGCCCAAATCCCGTTCTCATATCCAACTCGTTTGATGACATGGCTGATTAGGTGTCAAAAAATTGTTCCAGACAGCATGTCAAATGTCTCAATTCTAAGAGTTCAACTCTCAAATATAATATAATATAAAGGATTTGATGGTAGTACCTCATTTGTCCCACACTCCCTCCTTGTCTACATAAATAGGCAAGAGAGTTAAAAAAATAAATAAATAAAAATAAAATAAAAATGAGTGGTGAAGAAAGGAGTGAGGGACAAATGGGGTACACCAAAGGTGTACCCCTAGCATTGTTCTTGATAAGGAGTACTCTTGTGGGTATTAGAATAGAGGTGGGCACAAGCTGGATCGAATTCATTTTCATAGGACCCATCTCTGATATATTTTTAGAATAAATGGGTTGAAACGGGGTAGTTTGTTGAAAAAGATATTTGGAGCCGACTATAACATGACTTGTTTCTAATGGTTCGATTCTGCGAGTCTCCGGGTCTTGAATTTTTTTCTATTAAACTAAAATTTTAAAATACATCACAAATAAATAAACAACGTATATGAGAATAGTCAATTGAATAATAAACATTTTGAATCCATGATATTTATAAACGAAATGAAAATAACTTATATTATTCAACCATAAAAAAAATGCGATTGAAGACTAAAATTTTTATTTACTATATTATGTGTGTGTGTAAATAGAATATTGAATATACCATATAGAAGTTATTTATTACTCCCTTCGTCCCCCAGTTTTTGTCTACTTTCATTTTTGCACATCATCCAATGCACTTCTTTAATCTATTTTATCTTGTAATTTGTAAATTAAAAAATTATAAAAATTATATATTAATAATCTATATGTTAAGACAAATCAAACAAGATCACACATGACTATATTTAGGCTTACACATTGAGAGAATTAGATGAGTCAAAGTGCTTAGATGAACAGTTCCAAAAGTCAAAAGTGGACAAAAACTGGGGGACGGAGGGAGTAATAAAGTTTGATGAAAAGACTAAAATTCTATATTGATTATACTTTGAATCTTTAATACTTCAATTTCTATATTTATAATTTAATTAAATATAGGAAACAGGCAGGTCCTGGTCTACTTGTTTCTAAGTATTAGGAACCAGCTCGACTTGTTTTGCTAAGGACCCACCCCAGACCGACTTTTTTTACATGATATCGGAATCATATGTTATTGTTTCATTTGGTTGGAATTGGATTCGGGACTCGGAAATAGTGTTGGACAGTGGAAAAACTGTGTTGCACCAGGTTGCAATCGCCAGATGGTAGGTCGGTACCGCCTGTGGTACCGAGCTACCGCCATAGTTCAATCCGCGCTGCCAGACGTTGTTTCTGGCCGGTACACCCTACCGAACGGGGGGTAGCCAGCTACCGCCACAGTTCATTTGGTATTGTCGGTCGTTGTTCCCTCACGGTATCCCGGTACCGGGTGGCAATACCTAGGTACCGTTCGCTGGTAGCGTGATAGGTACCGCTTGACAGTAACAGTTTGTTCCCAAAACATTTAAGCGTCGAGGATGATTGTGATTGTTCTGTTTTGATCATATCCAACCTAGACTATGTGTGTTACGTGAGGGTAAATTTGGGTGTCAATATCCAATACTAAGTCGTTACTTGTTATGATTGTGATTGTTCTATATTGATCCAACATGTATATTATCTTATGAACTATCGCCTTGCGTGAACTCAATAGTAAGAGCGTGCTGGTCCAGCACGCTGAAGTACACGTTATGTGGTGTTGATCCAACAATGTGAATGCGGTAAGTCAGCCTAGAGGAACTCTAGAACTGACTCATTATTAAGATAGTTGAAAGTAAGCCATGTGGATCCTGGTGGGCTCAATGGCTAATCCCGTAAAAACATACATACGAGTATCCTTGAACTACTTGGATATCCATCAGGTGGGGATTCCACACATCTAATGGAAAACTCATTCGTTGGTCGAGCATGACCCGCTGATCCAGTGGGAATAATCATGTAATGCCTCAAAATATACCCTAATAGTTATATTGAATTATTATTCAAATAAATAAATTTGTTTAGATTAAAATAAATTATTATTGGGCTTTGGGCCGAAATGATATATATTTTGATACCCAATATCATAATCCGGATAAATCTCATAAAGATAAATCCAATATATTGACTTATTGTGTGACCTTGGTTGGAAACCTGAGTAGAGACTCAAATCAAGAATAAATGAAGAAATTGCTTATGATATATACTTTGAAATGATTTATTTAAATAAATTATGAGAATAAATAATATGAATGGAATGTAAGAACCTTTTTTAGTAAGGTCAATTAAATTAATTTTGACTATGTCAAAGTCAACCACCCAAAAATATGATGTCGGAAAAAGTATTACATTGAATATACAAGGCGAGAACCAAAGATGATAAGAAAGAGAACAAGAGCCAAACGAAGACCTTAGTCTTAGCATCGTTGAGTCGGTCTTTATTGTGATCAAGACCGACCCAATCTTTACACCTTGGCTCTTTAGGATGAATGTTGAATATGAACACTAATGTTGAATAATGAATAATCAAAACTGAATATTGATTATTGAATATCTGAACTGAACATTATGTGCATGATATCAAATTATTTGATTATGAATTGAGATACAATTTATATGGATGTTCGACGCATTAGATATTTTTACTCAGCTTCAACGTTGAGCGTGTAGTATATTTTATTTGCTACACGCAGGTTAATAGAATGATGTGATGTGATCCTGGAGGTAGACAGAGGCGAGATACTTGGAATGGATGTGATGGTTTTGAATTGAAGAATATAAATAAATTATGTTTATGATTTTGATTTTTTAAGCTTACACAATATTCAAAACTCTGTACTATTATGTTATGAAAAATATTATTGTGGTAAATAAAAATGTTGAAATGCTTTAAATTTCTACGATTATCAAGTTAATACTTTAGTCTGAAAGAGGCTGCAGACCTGGACGGATTAGGGTGTTACAATTGTAACACCCCGGCCCCCACCTTGGTCGTAACTGTCTGCTCATAGGAGTGTAGAGCCCAAGGATACTTCCCAGAGGGTCACCCATCCTAGATTTTCTAGGTGATGAGCTCTCGAAAAGAAGATGCACCTTGCTGGTGTGAGTAGTACTATCAATCCTTTTGAGCCTTTTCTTTCCCTAATCCACTTATTTTTCAAATCATGGTATTACATTCACCCCCACTTAGGAATGCAATGTCCTTGTTGCATCTTTTTTTCAAGCCCCTAGATCTTCCCCCTAGGTGAACTGGTCGCAGGGTTGCTCTGATACATATACGTTACAAATTGTCACATTTTATATGGTCATACTTCAGTTCTTTATTATATTTTTTGATGCATTTTATGTTAAAATAAATTATATAATGAAACATTTAGCTCTTTTGGCTACTTGTTATATTTTTACACTAAAATCATAAGTTGGGTAAAGTTTTGTAACACCCTAATCCGTCCAGGTCTGCAGCCCCTTTCGGACTAAAGTATTAACTTTGTAATCGTAAAATTTCAAAACATTTCAAACACTTTTATTTATCACAATAATAATTTGTCATATCATAAACAGTACGGAGTTTTCATTGTTGCGGAAGCTTAACAAATCATAATTACAAACATAATTTATTTATGTTCTTTAATTCAAAACATCACATCCATTCCGGCAATCTCGCCTCTGTCTGCTTCCAGAAATACGTCACATCATTCTTTCCATTAACATGCGTGTAGGAAATAAAACATACTACACACTCAGCGGTAAGCTGAGTAAGCATATCTAATACGTCGAACATCCATATCAACAGAATCTCAATTCATAATCAAATCATTTCATATCATGCACATAATGTTTAGTTTAGATATTCAATAATCAATATTCAAGTCATTATTCAATCATTTAACATGCATATTCATATTCAACATTTTTATTCAACATTCACCATAAAATATTCATCATTTGTCATTCAACAATATCCTTAAACTATACTTAGTTTAAGGCCAATCTTTTTGATATTTACTAACTCTGAAACGAATTTTAGTTTAATGTAGTTAAACTATATTCCAGTTTAAGGTACTTCTATCCAACTCTTAAGCTAGGTCATTAGTTTAAGGTACATATATTCTGATTGATTTACCAACTCTTAAACTAGCCTTTGCTTAAAGTACAAATCCAGAAAACCGAACAGTAGACTACTAACTGTCGGGTTGGGTGGTATCCCCAAACGAGTTCCTCTAGTTTGGTTTATGGATCCCGTACGTACGTTTTTACCCAAGGCCACCGAATATACATATTTATACCCGCAATGTAACACCCTAATCCGTCAGGGTCTGCAACCCCTTTCGGACTAAAGTATTAACTTGGTAATCGTAAAATTTTAAAACATTTCAAACACTTTTATTTATCACAATAATATTTTCATATCATAAACAGTACGGAGTTTTCAATATTGCGGAAGCTTAACAAATCATAATTACAAACATAATTTATTTATGTTCTTTAATTCAAAACATCACATCCATTCCGACAGTCTCGCCTCCGTCCGCCTCCAGGATCACGTCACATAATTCTTTCTATTAACCTGCGTGTAGCAAATAAAACATACTACACGCTCAGCGATAAAGCTGAGTAAGCATATCTAATGCGTCGAACATCCATATAAATTGTATCTCAATTCACAATCAAATCATTTGATATCATGCACATAATGTTCAGTTCAGATATTCAATAATCAATATTCAATTTTCAACATTCATTATTCAATCGTTCAACATGTATGTTCTTCATTTGTCATTCAACAATATCCTTAAACTATTCTTAGCCTAAGGCCAATCATTTCAATATTTGTAACCCTTAAATGAATTCTAGTTTAACTAATTAAACTATATTCCAGTATACAGAGTACTCCTAATAATCCTTAAGCTAGGCCTAGTTTAAGATAAAAGGGTTTTGGAAATCTTAAACTTACCTTCACTTAAGGCCAACCAAAAACCGACAGCGTAGTGTTCACTGTTGGGTGGGTGGTACCCCCAAACGAGTAGGTACTCAAGTTTGGTTCTTGGATCCCGTACGTACGTTTTAACCCTAGCCACCGGGCATCATACCCGCAAGGCCTANCTAGTTTAACTAATTAAACTATATTCCAGTATACAGAGTACTCCTAATAATCCTTAAGCTAGGCCTAGTTTAAGATAAAAGGGTTTTGGAAATCTTAAACTTACCTTCACTTAAGGCCAACCAAAAACCGACAGCGTAGTGTTCACTGTTGGGTGGGTGGTACCCCCAAACGAGTAGGTACTCAAGTTTGGTTCTTGGATCCCGTACGTACGTTTTAACCCTAGCCACCGGGCATCATACCCGCAAGGCCTAACTTATATAGGTATATCTTAGAGTTTTTCTAGATACCTTTCAAATCAACATTAATATGGGTATATCTTAGAGGTCTTCTAAATACCCTTGACAATACATATTATTTTCACAATCATCAATATATTCATTATGATTTAATCATTCGTAATTACCATTTTTAATCAAAACATTTATCAAGATTTAATCATCATAATCACCAACCAAAAATCATTACCATAATCATCAACATATTCATTTTTAATCAGTAGGTTCATTAATCATAATCATCAATCAACATAACATTTAAAGCAATAACAGTTAGCGGTGTAGTTTCAAGTGTTAACACCTGAACTTACTGTCATGCATCACATAACATTTTTATTTCTTAAAAACATCATTTTTGTTGTAAAGAATCATCCTTAAAATAATCATAATCAATTGGTATCAAAAATAGGAATTTAGAGCTCAAAAAATAGCAATTTCGGGCAAATTTTCGGATCAGAACTTCGGGGGATCGATCCAGCCCTCTGGATCGATCCATACTATGAAAAATCACTCACAGGGGATCGATCCAAGCCCCTGGATCAATCCAGACAGTGGTGTTTTAGCCACTGTTCATCATCTTCTTCGTTCGGGTCCAATTTCGGAAATATCGTTTTTAGTTATCAAACTTCAACGAAACTATATAGAGATGTTCTCCAAGGTTCATAGATCATTTTGGAATCATTAATTCATAGTTTTAACATCAATTTCATGGTTTATGATTCTTGGTTCTTCAAGCATGTCAAACACAAAACTCAACCAAACGACCGTTTATGAACGTAAAAACGATCTATACGAACATTCTAGTCACTAGATATATCTACGGGCTTACCTCGAAGCTTATCGAAGGTTTTGAGAATTTTCCGGCGAAAATTCCGGCGATGATAACTCCCAACTCCGGCGACTTCGGTGGCAACCAACAATGCCAGACTGCTCTCCTCACTCTTATAAACACAATGGTATTAATATTTGGAAGATTGCTGAAGAAATGGGGAGAGGAGGAAAGTTCTTATATAGGCAGGGAGAAGAAGAAGCTGCCATTCATGCTGAGTCAGTGACAATTTACGACCGTGGATTCAGCGGCGATTTGTAGGATTTTACACGCCACCTTGATTGGGACTAATTTTGGTCCCAGTCGGGTACACTTTTTGGTCCAACTTTCTCCGAATTGAATTTCATTTACACCATTGCGATCGGACAATTAAACTCTATCCAACTATATAATTTTTATATTTATTTGTTATACTTTTTCCGACATCACATTTTTGGGTGTTTGACTTTGACAGAGTCAAAATTAGTTTATTTGACCTTTATTTAAAAAGGTTCTCATATTTAATTCATATCATTTGTTCTCATGATTTATTTCCATAAATCAATTCAAAGTTCATATCACAAATAATTTCTTTATTTATTCTTGGTTTGGGTCTGTACTCAGGTTCCCAATCAAAACACACAATTAGTCAACATATTGGATTTATCTCAAAGAAATTTATTCAGATTGTGATATTGGATATCAAAACACATTTTGTATCGGCCCAAAGCCCAACAATAATTTATTTTAATCAAAACAAATTTGATTAGTTGAATAATTATTCATTAATAATTCTAGGGTATGTTTTGGGGCGTTACACGCAAGGCCCAATCTAATTTGAGGTCTATCTTAGAGGTCTTCGAGATAGCCTTAACAATACACCCATTTCATGATCACCATTATATTCATTTTTAATCATTAATAATCATCCTAATCAGTAGGTTTATCATTCACAATCATCCATAATAATTATTCATTGTAATGATCAGTCAACATACATTCAATAACAAATAGCAGCCTAGTCTCGAGTGTTAACACCCAAACTTACCGTCATGCATCACATAATGTTTTAATTTGTTAAAAACATCATTTTTATTGTGAAAAATCATTTTTATAATAATCATAATCAATTGGTATTAAAAATAGGATTTTAGAACCCAAAAATAGCATTTTCGTAGCTAATTGTGTTCGGAACGGTCGACCGTTTTTAGATGACGGTCGACAGTTAATGTAGCGGCGGTATGGAGGCTTCTGGTCTCAGAACGGTCGACCTTCGTGGAGGGACGGTCGAACTTTGTGGCAGAACGGTCGACCTTTTGTCAAAACGGTCGACCTTTCCTGCCAACCAGCAAAGAGTGCTTCATCTTCAACCTCGGGTCAGATTTTTGAAAACTCATTTTTAGCCATCAAACTTCAATTAAACTTTATAGAAATATTCTCCAATGTTAACAGATCATTTAAATACCATTAATTTGAAGTTTTAACAACAATTTCAAGGTTTATGATTCTTGGTTCTCCAAGCATGTCGAACACAAAACTCAACCAAATGACCGTTTATGAACGTAAAAACGATCTATATGAACATTCTAGTCATTAGATATATGTACGGGCTTACCTCGGAACTTAACGAAGGTTTTGGAAATTTTATGGCGAAGATAACTCTTAGCTCCGACGATTCTACACCAAATTGACAGCACCACAACACTCCTTACACTCAAGGCTAACTTTTAAAAGAAATTTGTGGAAGAATGGTGAAGAAATGAGGAAATTGGCTTCCTTATGTAATGGAGAGATGAAGAAGAAGAAGCCAAGAATGTTTCCTTCACAAATCCTGCGATCGCCGTAGTGGGGAAGGAGGCGCCGTCTAAACAGTTTCCTGATTGGGACCAATTTTGGTTCCTGTCGGGGTAGACTTTTTGGTCCAACTTTCTCCGAGTTAAAATCTGATTGCATCGTTGCGATCAGACAGTCGAGCTCTATCCAACGATATACTTTTCATACTTATTTGTAAAACTTTTCCGACATCATATTTTTGGGTGGTTGACTTTGACAGAGTAAAAATTGATAAAGTTGACTTTTATTCAAAAAGGTTCTCATATTTAATTCATATTAATTATTATCATGATTTATTTCAATAAATCATTTTAAAGTCCACTACATAACTAATTTCTTTATTTATTCTTGATTTGGGTCTGTACTCAGGTTCCCAATCAAGATCACACAAATACTCAACAAATTGGATTTATCTCTATGAGATTTATCCTGATTATGATATTGGATATCAAAACATATTTCTTATCAGCCCAAAGTCCAACAACAATTTATTTTCATCAAAACAAATTTGATTAATTTTAATAATTATCTATTAATAATTCTAGGGTATGTTTTGGGGCGTTACAGTTTTTATATTATTTCATGTTGAAATTAATTTCTCTTATATGTACTTTTAGATATACTCTTTGGAATAAAAAATAGATGTTAAATTCAAGAGATGGATAATTGGGCCAAGCTTTAATGGAATTAAAGATTTAAAGTCCAAGTGCAAGTCAAAATCCAATTGTTATATCCTATCTCAACCCAACCCAACCCAAATAAAACCTCAAAAAAAAAGAAAAAGAATAGATATAAAAGGATAGGGGGCTGGAATCGAGAAGGGAGGAGGTAAGAAACGGAAAAAAGGGGGAAAGGGACGAAAAAAGAGCGGAAGAACAGAGAGACGTTGCACGGCGTCCTTACTTCGCCTGCGACCTGGAGCAGCGATTCAACAGCTGGGTCCTCATCTTCCTCAAATTTCAGAGTAATTCTTTCCTTCTTCTTTAATTATGTCAAGTTTTACTATCAATTTTGTTGAATTTTACATTATGTTTGGCTAAACTCCATAGCTAGGGCAAGGATGAAACTTATATATTCTATTTGATTTTTACTCATGATTTATTTTTCCCTATTGATCTTAAATGTTTGGTGTCTATTTTTTCAATTGATTGTTAGGGTTAATTTTTAGATGAATTGAATCATGTTTTTCTCATGCTTTGAATAATCCTGATAGTTGTTTGACAAGTAAAAATGGCGAATATTAGTTGTGATTTCTTGTTGAGATACAATTAATGATTTGAATTTCTCTTAAAACTTAGAAAAATAGCAAACTATAGAAATTGTTTTTTAGAGCTTAATTGATATATCCTCTATGATAATGAGACTTGGCTGCGAGATTATCATGCGTAGTAAGTTTAGAAGAAAATAATGACTTAGTCCTAGTTCTTTCTTATATTTGAAAACTTATTTTTAATCTCTTAATTTTTTGTAGTTAGAAAAATCTTTAGTTTTTGTTAAATTTAAGATTTCTGTAAAATCATTCACTTTCACATTTAGTTGTTTTTAAATATTAAATTTCGTCCAACTAGATTAGAAATATTCAATTGAATCTAGAATAAAATTCTTCACATATTCAAGTCTCTGTGGGATCGACTTCGTATTTGCGTTGCTATACTTTCGTATGGTTCGTGTACCATTTAGATATTTTTTCACTTAGCTTCAATGCTGAGTGTGTAGTGTTTGTTCTTTTGCTGCACGTAGGTAATCAAGATCATAATGAACCTAGAATCAAGCCCGGAGGGTGATGAGGCCGAGGTGATGTGTGTGGATGCATTTGAAGATTTTGAATAATTAATTATTATTTAAAGCACATATTATTTTTAAGGGTTTGATTTCCAAGTTGTTTGAGATTTTATTAAAGGCTTTTGCAATGTTTTCAATTACACTAATGGATACTACCTCCGTCCCACACAGAAACAGGTGAAAACTGAAAACCTTGACAAGTAGATTCGTGAAACTGAGTAGTTTAAGAGAGTTACACATTCGGATTTATATCAGTACACACTAGAACAAACTAAACAGAATTGTATATCTAATAATTATATATTAAAGATATTAAAAAATTATATGTTTAATGTTCTATTTTACCTATAAAGAAGTGCATTGGATAGTGTGCCAAAAGGTAAGTGGACAAAGACAGTGGGACGGAGGGAGTATTTAAGTTTGAATTAAAAGTTTTTAAAATTGTTTTAAATTAAAGTTGTGTTTAGATATTAATTTAGTAGAAACACGGTTTGCTGATCCATGTATTTAAGTTATGTGGGTTGGGTGTTGCAGTGTACGTCTAATTCATGTGCAGATTTTTAATAGACTTGCATTCTCCTGAATTTCTAAACAACATACGAGCTTCTGGTGTTCAAAGCATGAACTAAAGTTAAAGGTCAGAACACTCGTCATGTTGTTGAGGAATATTGGCCAATCAACATGTTTCTGCAATAGAACAAGATTGATAGTAACTCGATTGGACAGTGCTGACCGGGACAGTGCTGACCGAGAAAAATATTTCTCAGGAATTTATTATCCCACGGTTGTCGCTTACACCATCAGATACGAGAATTCCTTTTCACTACGTTTGGTTCAAGGAATTTGAAAGGAAAAAGAAAAGAAAATGAAATTGAAAATAGTTTTTCTTGTTTGGTTAGATAGAAAAAGAAAGGAAAAGTGGAAAGAAAAGAAAATGAGTAGGCAAAATGTACTAAGTGGAGGCAAAATCTAATTTATCCCATTTTGGTGAAGAAAATGAGAGCAAAACATTTTCTTTTCTTTTCCTTCTTAATTCCTCGAACTAAACATAGTGTTTAAGTTTCAAAGGAAACAATTTCTAATTATGACTTCATATGCAATGACGATTAACAAAAGTCAAGGGCAAACTTTGTCGCATGTTGGACTATTACTTATGAAATTGGTATTCAGTCATGGTTAAATTTATGTGGCATTTTCACATGTCACAATTCACAAAGGGTTAAATGTTGATTTGCAATGAAGACCTTTCATTGTCAACCAACCTACAAATGTTGTTTACAAGAAAGTTTTTCAAACCCTATAACACATCCCATCGACAATGAGTATTAATATATACTTCCCTTTCTTTAGGATTTTACTCCCTCCGTCCATTATTTTCTTTCTCATTTTTTTTGGATTGTCTATAAATTTCTTTTTCGTTTTCTATTTTGGAAAAATACTTTTAATGGATGTGTAATTATAGGTTGTTGATATCTATGCTCCGCCTTCTTATATTGGCGCTCCACTTCTCAATTTGTTTCCAAACATTGACAATGTTGCCCTTCGTCCTCACTCTAGCATTTTAGCTTTGTTTTACCCCCGATTAATATTTTTCTTTTTTTTCTTTTTTCAATCTTCTCTTTGTTTCATTTTCTATTCATTTGTTGTGTACTCCTCCTTCTTCATAGATGTTGGGATTTTAAGCGCGTAAAAATGAGAGAACAAACACAAGAAGAATATATGAGAGAAAAAATTATATTCCCACTATTTCAGGACAATATACAAAAAAACTCTCCCGGTTTACAAGTGCTAAATATCAGACACTTATAAACAGACTTTTCACACCCTACACCCGGATGTATTTTTCTGAGTAACTAAAACCAGTTACTCCCTACACTCACTCACACAATGTTGGTGATATCTTGTGTAGACCTCTCTCTTAACCTTCCTCTTTTTCCTTAGTCGTGTGTATACTTACTAAGAAGACCATGCATGGCTTTTAAAGCCAAGGGAAGTACTCCTGCAAATGACCACAAGCACAAGAGTCCAACATTTGATTCCCTTCCATCAAAAAAATCCACACGCAATTTGATTCCTTTGATTTCTTTCTTTTCCTTTTTTTTGTTTCTTTTGATTATTTAATCAAATATCCCAACAAACTCCACCTTGATTAATTAATCAAACCATGGTCCGGCTCCACCCCGCTCGTTCCGGCGAAGTCACAGTCTCCACCAACTTGAGAAGCTTCAAATGTCACACGCTTCTTCCATGCAAATGCTCCGCTCGTTGCACTTGTAAATTTTCCGTCTGACAACTTCCGTGTCAAATCTTTTCCTACAAGTTTATACAAGCCCTTGGACAAAACTCCTTTTTCTACCACCATTGCTCCCCTTGAAATTTTTAACACTCCACTTTGAGCAAAAATTCAGAAGCCTTTTGAATCTAAAGCACCCAATGAAATCAATTTTCCTTTTAGACCTGGTACATGTTCACTCCAGTTAATGTTCTCACCATGCCATCAAACATGCGAACTTGCACTGTTCCGACCCCTGCAATTTTGCTCCGTGCACCATTTGCCATCTTCACAGCACCCCCATCACAAGTTTGATACGTATCAAATTGTTCCTTAACTGAACACATGTGAAACGGACAACCCGAATCTAACATCCAATCCGATTTACCTAGACTCTTTGTAGTTGCCAAAAACAAGTCTTCTTCACTTTCTTGTTTCGAACCTTCTGCAACCGCAGTCACGTGTGTTTTCCCGTCCTTCTTTTCCTTCCTCCTCTTTGGACAATCCCTTTTGAAATGACCCTCTTCATCGCAGTAGTAACACCGAAAGCTTTTACTACTCGATTTGAAGCGTTAGGACGCGCCGCCCCTCTCTTTAGACCGTCCTCGTTCCCGACCAGCTCCTTTTGCTACCAAAGCTTGACCGTCATTTGATACCCCGTTGCCACCCCGCCGAGTCTCGTTCATCAACAACGCAGCAACTACTTCATCAAATTTTAAGGTTTCTTTTCCAAACAAAAGCGTGGTCACGATGTTGTCAAAAGATGAAGGCAATGAAGCAACAAAAGCAGCGCTTTGTCCTCCTCTTCAATCTTCACATCAATGGATTCCAACTCTGTTGTAATCTTGTTGAATTCATCCAAGTGTCCATTAAAGTTAGCTTCCTCCGCCATTTGGAGACCAAACAATCGTTTCTTCAAGTATAGCCTACTTGTCAACAATTTCGACTTGTACCGGCTCTCCAGCTTGTCCCAAATATCCATCGGGTCCGTCAAACCGAGAACCTCCCGAAGAGTATTATTTGCAAGGCATAGGCATATTGTACTTGTTGCTATGTCCTTCAAATCCTCCCACTCTTCTTGCGACAATTTTTCCGGTTTGTCGTTCTTCCGGTGTTTGGCCCACTCAGCATCCGTCATTTTTTCTGTCCTCTGAACCTTCACCTTCAGAGCTTTGATTGTCCCTTCCCGAGTAAGAACACTTTTTACTCGTTGTTGCCACAGAGTAAAATCACCACGTCCATCGAAAGGTTCAACGGAAACATTCGAACTTTTCACCGATGCCATTTTTCAAGTTATTCGACTTTCTTCTCTTACCGCTTAGAAATCCCTCTGCCCCAAATGTAACTTGGCTCTGATACCAATTGTTGGGATTTTAAGCGCGTAAAAATGAGAGAACAAACACAAGAAGAATATATGAGAGAAAAAATTATATTCCCACTATTTCAGGACAATATACAAAAAAAACTCTCCCCGTTTACAAGTGCTAAATATGAGACAGTTATAAACAGACTTTTCACACCCTACACCCGGATGTATTTTTCTGAGTAACTAAATCCAGTTACTCCCTACACTCACTCACACAATGTTGGTGATATCTTGTGTAGACCTCTCTCTTAACCTTCCTCTTTTTCCTTAGTCGTGTGTATACTTACTAAGAAGACCATGCATGGTTTTTAAAGCCAAGGGAAGTACTCCTGCAAATGACCACAAGCACAAGAGTCCAAAATTTGATTCCCTTCCATCAAAAAAATCCACACGCAATTTGATTCCTTTGAATTCTTTCTTTTCCTTTTTTTTGTTTCTTTTGATTATTTAATTAAATATCTCAACAATAGACTATATTTAATTTTTCAAAAACTGTTTCCATTTGATATAAAACAAATAAAATTTTAAAAAAAGTTTACGCATAAGTACTCACTATTCATTTTATGTTGTTTTGTGTTTTTATGTTTTGCTCACATTATACACTCAATAATAAGAAAAATTACTTTTGTATTTTATTTATCTTTTGTTGTTTTAGTTTTCTCTTTTTTTTCCCTTTGGCTAGTTTTTTCCTTTTATTCTTTTTTTCCCTTTGGCTAATTTTTTCCTTTTATTCAGTTTTTCGATTCTTTTTCTGTTTTTATTGTTTTCCTGCTCATATGTATTTTGACTTTTTATTGAAATTAGAGTAAAATAGTGCTACATTCTAACGAAATATCAACAATATCAACATGTAATACTATAATACCAAAAATTAGTGTCATATACTTGCACGTATATAATGTCAAAGTACATTAGCATAATTCAATAACTTATTTTTGTAATAAAAACATGTTACATATTATAGGGATCAAAGTACATTAGCATAATTTAACAACTTATTTTTGTTATAAATGTTGGAATTTTTAGTTAAAACAAGACATTTTCGGACATAAATTCGGTAGGGTCCACAAAATTATTTTCTAGAAATAATTATGGACGATTAATCTTGTAAGTGAGATGAGTGTTTCGACATATTACACGCAAAAATGGTGCTCGGGTGATTGAGAAATTAATTTACAAAGTCGAACACGTGGAAAGAGTCAAAACCCTTGTCCCCCACCGGATCTTGAACCTTTCGTATTCTCATATTTAAACTTAAGCATTTAATTGAATTTATGAAGGGAACAAGAAAGGACTCCTCGCGCGCTTCCGCCGTCTGGCCAGCTCGGCTCAGCACAGCACGACACAACACGCACGTCGCGGCGGGGTGTGGCTATTTTTTACGAGACCTAATTGAACACACATGGACACTTCATGATTAACAAAGTGTCGTTGTCCAAGGGAAGTGCATGCATGCCGTTGAGACCGAAAAGTCACTTGAGACTCTTTGGTATATCCGTCTAGTCCATCCATTAGCCATACCTCCTCCTATTTAAGGAGAGATTACATTGGTTGAGAGACAGAAACAAGTTCAAAAAGACGAAACACTGTTCAACTCTCTCCCCATTTTCCGATGATCTTCTCCGGCGATAACTTCCTGTCGTTCTTGTTCGTCGGTGCACAGTTCTACCGCTCTAGACCTTGCACGTTGCAGTTTTATCTTGGGAGGAGATTGCCCACGTTTGCTAGTGCGCGAGGCGAGCAATAATACCTTAAGGAAAGGTCTGGCGACTCCGCTCTCTTAACCTCCAGTTCGAGAAACTGTTCCGGCTCGCCCCGACCATTGGTCCGACGTCTCTGCTCGCCGATCAAGGCACCTGCTCTATTCGAGTTCTTACTCCCGTTTCGATCCGTTCGAGCTTCCCGAAGATTCTAACTTTCTTTATTTTATTTTCATTGTAAAATCGGAATGTTTTATAACTTCGGATTAATTTTTTATTATTCCCGTTGTATTTGCAACAATGGAATAATAAAAAAATAATCCGAACTTATAGCCAACGTGAGGACTATAAAATATGGGAAGCCTAACGACTCCATTGACAAGTACAAAGCTAGACTTGTGATCAAAGGTTATAGCCAACGTGAGGGCTATGACTACTTTGATACTTACCCGCCCGTGACTAGGATACACTCTATCAGAATGATCATCGCATTTGCATCCCTACGAAACCTAAATGTTTTTACCAAATGGATGTAAAGACAGCTTTTCTAAATGGCGAACTAGATGAAGAAATCTATATGGAACAACCCGAGGGGTTTAAGGTTTTGGGACAAGAAAAGAAGGTCTGCAAACTTGTGAAATCACTATACGGTTTTAAACAAGCGCCAAAACAATGGCATGATAAGTTTGACCAGGTAATGATGAACAATGGTTTTAAGATAAATGAGTCGGATAAGTGCGCATACTTTAAAGATACATCTGAAGGATATGTCATTCTATGCGTGTATGTAGACGACATACTCATCGTTGGAAGCAACAATAGGATGGTTAAGTCCACCAAAGACATGTTAAACGCACGATTCGATATGAAAGATTTCGGTCTGGCTGATGTGATTCTCAGAATCAAAATAATAAGAAGACCAGATGGTCTGAGCTTGAGCCAATCCCAGTACATTGACAAAATCCTTGAGAAATTCAATAAGGATGATACATAGATAGCTAAGACGCCGATAGATGTAAATGTTCACCTTGGTAAACATCGAGGGAGTAGCGATTCTCTGACAGAATACGCTAGAGTCATCAGAAGTCTGATGTATCTCGTGAGCTGCACACGGCCAGATTTAGCTTGCACCATTAGCAAAATAAGTAGGTATACTAGTAATCCGAGCACTGAGCACTGGAAGGCCATAGTCCGAGTGATGAGATACCTTCGGTATACTCGAGATTATAGCCTATGCTATGGCGGTATCCACCCATGCTGGAAGGGTACACTGATGCCAATTGGATTGCGGATAATAAGGATTCAAAATCCAGAAGCGGATTTATCTATATGTTAGCCGGTGCAGCTGTATCTTGGAAATCCTCAAAACAAACGTTAATTTCCATATCCACCATGGAGTCTGAGTTTATAGCACTAGATAAGTGCACAGAACATGCTGAGTGGATTCGGAATTTTCTTGAGGATATTCGAAATTGGGAAAAAATAGTTCCTCTTATTTGCATTTACTCTGATTGTCAATCGACGATAGAACGAGCTCAGAACAATATGTACAATGGTAAGTCTAGGCACATTCGTTGTAGACACAAAACCATTAGGCAACTTCTCAATACAGGTATTATCTTAATTGACTATGTTAAGTCAAAAGATAATTTAGGGGATCCACTAACCTAAGGGTTAACAAACGAATAACATGAGAAGTTAGTGGTATGATTGGGTCTGAAAGCCCTACCCTGTGTTGGAAACGTTCCATGAAGGAAAACCCAACCTGGGTGGTACCTAGGTTCAATGGGACAACCTACTTGTGGGACGAAGCATGGTCACTATGGGGGCAAGCCGGATCACCGACTCAAAATCCCTCCGTCCCTACCAAGATATAGTGACTCCAAAAAATGATGAGGTTCGCATGATGCTTTAATGATTCTTGAACTGTAGACAACGGGGTCCAAGTGGAGTAATCGAGATACTCTAAGCTATCTTTTTTCTGAGAATCACTACTCCCTTGGTGTTTACCAAAGTGAACATTTACATCTATCGGCGTCTTAGCTATCTTTGTATCATCCTTGTTGAATTTCTGACGGATTTAGTCAATGTAGTGGGATTGGCTCAAGCTCAGACCATCTGGTCTTCTTATTATTTTGATTCCTGGAATCACATCAGCCAAACCCAAATCTTTCATATCGAATCGTGCGTTTAACATGTCCTTAATGGACTTAACCATTCTGTCATTGCTTCCAACGATGAGTATGTCGTCTACATACAGACATAGAATGACATATCCTTCAGATATGTCCTTAAAGTATACGCACTTATCATACTCATTTATCTTAAAACCATTGTTCATCATTACCCGATCAAACTTATCATGCCATTGTTTTGGCGCTTGTTTAAGACCGTATAATGATTTCACAAGTTTTCATACCTTCTTTTCTTGGCCCGAAACCTTAAACCCCTCGGGTTGTTTCATATAGATTTCTTCATCTAGTTCGTCATTTAGAAAAGCTGTATTTACATCTATTTAGTAAACATCCAGGTTTTAGAAGGATGCAAATGTGATGATCATTCTGATAGAGTTTATCCTAGTCACGGGCACGTAAGTATCAAAGTAGTCATAGCTCTCACGTTGGCTATAACCTTTGATCACAAGTCTAGCTTTGTACTTGTCAATGGAGCCGCCAACTTCATTTTTCTCCGAAAGACCTATTTAGAACCTAATGGCTTACACCCAGGAGGGAGATCAACCAATTCCCACGTGTGATTCTGAAGAATAGAATCAACTTCACTTTTTATGGCTTCTCGCCACTGAGGTCCTTTAGTTGAGGTTATGGCCTCGTGATAGGTTCGTGGTTCCTTTTCTACCAGACAAGTTAGAATATCGGGTTCATTCTCCATTAAAAATGACAAATTTCCTTTGTCAAAATATATCAGATATGTTATGAAGTCCGAACCGAACGTCTTTTCAGTTCGTATTCTTTTACTTCGCCTCAATTCAGTTTCATGTTCGACTACATCATCGTCACGGAAATTCAACTCATTTGGATTATCGTTATCCATCATCTCAGTATGAGAACGTTTGGACGAACTAGCTTCCTCGCTTGACTTGCACGGAAAAATATGCTCGAAAAAACGTTGCATTCCGTGACTCTATGATTGTGTTCTTGTGAATTTCAGGATTATCTGATTTGTACACCAAGAACTGGTATGACATACTATTGTACCCAATGAACATTCCATCAACTGTCTTTGGACCGATCTTCATCTTCTTTGTTGGTGGTGCAAATACTTTAGCGAGACACCCCCACACTTTGAGATATTTATAGGAAGGTTTCCTATTATGCCAAAGTTCATACAGAGTTTTGTCAAGTTTCTTATGAGGTATTTTATTTAGTAAATAATGTCTAAAGCTCTGGGGTAATCTAGAACTTAGTAGCATCGCATTCATCATGTCTTTCAGAGTGCGATTTTCCGCTCTGCTACGCCGTTTGACTGCGGTGTATTAGGTGGGGTTACTTGATGCACTATTCCATGTTGTGCACAAAACTCATTGAGTGGAGCATCATACTCATACCTCTATCGCTTCTCAATGCTTTGATCTTGCGATTGAGTTGATTTTCCACTTCATTCTTATATCAAATGAAAGTGTCTAACGCTTCATCTTTACTTTTCAGTAAATAGATATAGCAATATTTTGTGCTTTCTTCGTCGAAGGTAATAAAGTATTTATTACCTCCTCTTGAAGGCATTGTTCAAAAATCACACAAGTCGGTGTGAACCAACTCTAGAGGTTGAGTATTACGTTCAAATGTTTGGGATGAACATCTCGTTGACTTAGCCTCAACACAAGTTTCACACTTTTGGGTTAAGTCAATGCTGAATTTAGGAATGTGTTCCATGTTAATAAATTTCCATAGAGATGCATAATTAACATGTCCTAGTCTACCATGCCATAAACTAGAAGACTCACACACATAAGCAACGAGATTTTTATTCACTTTCTCGGTAATAGCCATTACATTGAGTTTTACAAGAATGTCGAAAAGGTAACCTTTCCCTATAAAAATCCCCTTTTTGGATAAGATCAACTTGTCCGATTCAAGCACCATCCGGAAAGCGTGCTTGATCAACAATGACCCCGACACTAAATTCTTACGAATATCTGGCACATAGAGCACGTCATTAAGCATTAGCTCTTTACCGGAGGTCATTTTAAGCTTGATCTTACCAATCCCCCGAACTTATGATTGGGTCGAGTTGCCCATCCAGACCTTGTCCCCGGAGGTCTCTTGTAATTCGTGAAACATGCTCCGATTGGAGCAAATATGGCGTGTGGCTCCTATGTTCACAAACCATTCCCTCGGGTTTGACCCGACGAGATTCACCTCGGTGACAACTGTATAGAGGTCCAAGTTTTCGAGCTCTGCGCACATGGTTCAGTTGACTTCTTCTTGTTCTTTTGTGGCTTCTTTTTCCTATAATCGGAGGAACGATGCCCGATAATGCCATAATTATAGCACTTCCCTGCAAATTTAGAAACACCACCCTTAGGACCTATTTTCTTTTTGTCCTTCCCGCCATGTGAAGAGCCCGAAGAATGTTATACCACATTCGCCTTTGCCCCTCCACCTCTTCTGGCAAGCCCTTCCTCTCGGATTCTTAACCGTGTGAGCAGTTGCTCCAGGTTCAACTCAGTTCTTTTGAGCTTGAGATCGGCTTGGAAGTCTTCCTAAGAGCGTGGAAGTTTTTGAATGATGGTCGCCACTTGAAAGGCCTCACTAACACCTACTTTCTCTTCATTGTATTTATTGAAGATTACCGTAAGCTCCTCAGCCTCGGCGGCAACATATTTTTTTGTCAACACTCTTGTAGTCCAGCATCTTCCCGATGATGAACTTTTTGGTTCCGATATCTTCATCTTGATACTTCTTGTTCAAGCTATCCCAAAGTTCCTTAGCAAGGTTTGCACTGGCATAGATGGGGTACAACGTCTCAGCCAACCCCTCGAGAATGTAGTTGATGGTGAGATAATTGTTATAGTACCATGCTTGGTTCACCATCGCCACGAGGGGGTCGTTGCCGTCGTTGGATTGCGGAGGATCTTGTTGTAGGTACTCAGCAAATACCAGGACGGTAAAAAAGAACGTCATCTTTTGTTTCCACATTTTGAAGTTTGTGCCATTGAACTTTGGTGGCCTTTGGACCGTACTAGCGGGCACTGATATCGGCCCAACTGCATTGGGCATATGGAGGAAAGGTCCATTGGATGCCCAATGAGGTCCGACGAAAGGATTGACCGATGCGTTGAATCTCGCATTCGGTCCAGAGTTGACCGTTGTGGCCGAATCCATAGTCGGTCCAAGGAACGGGTTCGTATTACCAATGGGGTAACCCCTCGTGGTCCCGAGAAGGATGTCATGGTGGCGGCTCCCACACTTGACCCGAAGGGTAGCGGTGAGGACGGCACAACCATGGCAACCGATGAAGTTCCTACCGGAGCTTCGGAACTCATCCCGTTGTCGGAGGAACCCACGATGCCGAATCCGAAGTCCATGAATATTATACTACCTTAAGGAAAGCTCCGGCGACTCTGCTTTCCTAACCTCCAGTTCGAGAATTTGTTTCGACTCACCCCTACCATCGGTCCGACGTCTCTGCTCGCCGATCAAGGCACCTGCATGCTCTGTTCGACTCATGCCTCTGCCCGTTTAGGTTCCTGCTCTCGTTTCGATCCGTTTGAGCTTCCCGAAGATTCTAACTTTCTTTATTTTATTTCCATTGTAATATATGAACGTTTTATAAGTTCGGATTATTTTTTTATTATTCCCACTGTATTTGTAACAATAAAAACATGTTGCATATTATAGGGATGAAAGTTATGTTTTGCTTATATTTTGGATAATTTATTCAAATTGTGTTGCTAAAATTTATTAACTTTGGTGTCAAAAGATTAATATTGTTTTACTTTAATGTCAACAAAAATTCGAAAAAACATATGGATTTGAAAAGCTAAGTAATAAAAAGCAAATAATTAAAAAACATATATAGTCCCTCAGTCTCAATTTAAATGAGCTATTTTGATTTACAAAGTTTGAGTAAAGTTATTTTTAATATACTCCGTAATTTATTTGAGAATTTAGATTGAATTAAAAAATAAAATTTATATATTTAAAAAATTATATCAAAAGTTTACAAAATAAAAACTGACATGTGTGTATTATATCAAATGAGTAATAAAAGTAAAGATAGAAAATGAATAAAATTATGGCTATGTAAACAATAAACATGCTGATGGGGATATGAGCTCAGCCCCCCATGTCGACAAGATTAAGCTCGGCAGAGAAAGGCCCAACTCGGCCCATTACACTCTCGGCCGAGTTTACTCGTGGGCCAGGTACTGAAGCCCGTACCCTCGACACCCATCTTACTCGGCCGATGGTCTTACTCGGCCGGCCTTACCCCCTTGACAAAACATGTCGTAGGTAAGAGTCAACGGATCACGAACATTCAGAGGCTAGAATGCATGGGAGAACGTCAACAGAGGGCGACTTGTCCCTGGGCACGATCAAATTCAGTTAGGAGAAAACAATGTATCAAAGGAATGAGACAAATGTAATTAAGAGGCCCATGGGCCTCTTTGACTAAGGAGAATTGGGTACCGACCCAATATTGGGTGTTCCATCAGAGGAAAGGCGATCGAATTCTGAATTAATCAATTCATATTCCAAGTTTTTTGTTGTAGTTCATACTACCCATTCCTTAGAATCTATCACATGCAATTTAATTTGTAATGAAGAGAGTATATAATACAATTTTTTTTGATTAATTCATTATAATCAATAAAGAAAGAATACAAAACAAATGAATAGATAACGAAAAAATTGGTAAAAGAAAGAAATAAATCACGTAAAGCAAAAATGAAGTGCCAAGCCGGACGAATGGGCTAGAAGTATCTCTAGTTAAAAAGGGCAATCCTTGTAATATATTGAAAACAAATGAAATGTGGAGTGCCCCTATAAAATGGTGGAGTGCAGTTATCAACTCCCGTAATTATACCCTTACTTTTTTCTTTAGACTATTCCCTTTATTGCATCATATCAAGTCTAAGACATGAAAAATCTTTGTACTTTTTAACATCACTTAGAGCATGTTCTTTAGGACTTGAAAAAAGAGCTGAATGTTGGAAGAAGCTGGAAAGAACTGGAAGAAATTGGAAAAAATTGGAAAAAATTGGAAAAACTTCAAAAAATTGAAAAACATAAAAAAACTTTAAAAAAATTGATTTTAAATTCTTGTTGTTATAAATTATTAATATTATTATAATTAATATTATTATTATAACTATAATTATTATTATTATTATCATCATCATCATCATCATAACCATCATCATCATCACGTTATCTTAATGAATGCCTTTAAGATACAAACAATGTATTGTTATTTTTGAAATACAAAAAAACTACATTTGCAAAAAAAAATATAATATAAAATTAGCATAAATATAAAAATATTAAATTTTAAAAAGTTTTTGTGGTTACGTTGCACCTATTTTTTCTTTCATGATTGACATTTTATTTTCATTGAAGCCCTATTTTTGGAATAAAGACATGGAACTTTTTTTTTTCATTTTTTATGTTTACTCCTATTTTAGTCTTTTTCTCTAAGCTATTTGGACTTATAATTTTTTTTATAAAAATTAGAAAAATGAGAAAATTTTAAATAATAAAGGAAAGGTGAGAGACCTTAAATAAAGTTAGATTAATAAAATATTCTATGTCACTATTTTATCCATAATTTTTTAACATAGTTTAACATATTGATGTTTTCTTGTTTTATCATGTAGATTAATATACAAAAAAATTGTCTTGTTCATATTCAAAAGTTGAAGAAAAAATAATGAGTGTGAATAGTAAAAAAAGTGATATGAGAAAAATAATTTATAAACTATAGTTATGAACATAACAGTTGTAATAATAATAATAATCACATTAAAAATATATCATTTTTGGAGTAATTAGTTGGGGAGTAGAAAGAGTTTGAAGAAAATGAGAATAGTTAGAAGAAACTGGAAAGAACTGGAAGAATCTGAAAGAAACTGAAAATTAAGATTTCAAGTCCTAAAGAACAGGGTTAAAGGGAAGATTTTTTTTTTTGGGAAGGAGGATAGTATTATATTATCCGAGATTTGGAAAATATCATTAGATACCCACGGGCCACTCCCTACCAGGTTACCACCACCACTGCGCTCCACTCCCTCATTAGATACCCACGGGCAAATTGGATTTATTTTTCCGTTGTGTAACTGGAGTAACATGAAAATCTAGTTATTATTCCTGATTGCGGAACGACACAATAATGGTGGCGTAGGGTACTCCACCCCCTAATGAAACATTTCCTGCTCCAGAACGGAAGCTGATTAGCGGACGCTCCCAATTGTGTTTAGAGCGTGAAGGTAAATAATCTCTTCTTCGATCAATCGCCCACCGGCCAGTGATCTTCTAATCTATTCAAGGTAGGCCGCCTGATCCGCTTTTTTCTTCAATTCCCGTTCCGGGATTTTTATTCTGCAATGATTAACATCCTAGGTTTTACATTTTGATTCGGTTTTCGTTTAATCTGAATTTCACTTAGCATTGGTTATGTGAATTAGCTTTAAATATGACGAATTTCTTTGTTAATGGCTTAATGCCCGCTTTCACCAAACTCTGCATTAGAGTGCCAAGTCCTCACGGATTTGTTTTTGGCCTAGTTTGATATGAGCTCTTATATTTAAAAAAAATGGAGTTTCATGAGCTCTTATATTTAAGGAAGTTCCTCGTACTAATGAAGTTTGGTCAACTATTATATTTAAGATCATTCACTATTCATTTTCTCGTGCGAGACAAACTCATAGGTGGAATTCTTAACAGTTATACGTTATTATTTTTTGTGGAACTTAAGGTTGGCAGTGATAGTAATTTTGTGAATTTGGTGAGGCAGAATGAGTCAGGTCTTCGAACGATATGAACGACAGTACTGTGAGCTTTCGTCTAACTTGTCGAAGAAGTGCACCGTAGCTAGTGGTCTTGATGGAGGTGCGAGTAATATCCTTTATCATTTTCTTTTTTCTGCCTCTCATTAATAGCAGTTTCTTCTTGGGGTTCTTCTCATGCATTGCGAAACTATTCCAGTAACAGATTAGCTAATGATTGCCTACTCGAAGCCTCATCATGATTCAGATCTATGTTACAACTTATAGTTTTGCATATTTATGCAGATCTGTTTTCTTTGATCTTATTCTCGTGTTTTTATAACTGTGGTTGTCTTGTCCTTTCATGCCTGAAGAACAAAAGAAGCAGAAAATTTTTGAAGTAAAATCTGGATTGGATGATGCTGAAGCTTTGGTAATGCAGAGAATGAATTTTATCATTTTATGGGTGATAAGTTTTGCTTCTTCACTTGTCTCCTAAATGATGCTACATTCATCATTCTTTTCTTGCAGATTCGCAAAATGGATCTCGAGGCTAGGAGTTTACAACCAAATTTAAAGGCCACACTCCTTATAAAGTTGAGAGAATATAAAAATGATCTGAACAATTTGAAATCTGAGGTTAAAAGAATTACATCAGCTAATGTTAACCAAGCAGCAAGGGATGAATTGTTGGAATCTGGAATGGCAGATGCTAAGATGGTAATGTGGTATCCACTTGTCTCTATTGATTATGTATGACTTATGTTCATTGCCTTGAAACACTACCAGAAAAGGGTTTTAAGACAATGACCATAAGTAAGCGATATTATGGGACTAAAACAAATGCAAAAGTTTGCTAAACTTCTTTGATTTATGATGTGCCTTGCTCAATCTTAACTTAAAACCTTGTTATCAAGCCTACTATATGACAATCCAAAGCATTTATGACGTAAGGATGACATTAGGTACATGTCAGTGCTTTCTATTTGAGAGAACTTTAATAGGCATGTTACAACAAATAAATTTTATATGTTTGTATTGGTAGGATGTCAAGTGGGACAACAATTTAAGGTTTCAACTATAGGTGGATTAATTATACTTAATTTTAAATAGGAAAAATGCACATGAATACTCTTAAGTTTGGATCATCTTACAAAAATACTCCTAGAACAAATTATTGCACCAAAATTCTGTGTTGTTTCTATGATGAGTTGGTTGTTTAGTCGACATCATGTATTTGTCACCTTATTGGTTTATCTACATATTTGAAGCATTTTTGTGACAAGAGTCTGGAGACGAGTTACCACAATTTTTTCACATATAATGTCGCTAAATAATAGTAGTATTCTCTCTCATACAGTTTTATTTTTCGAAACTCAGTGTAAAGCCAAAAAAACATAAACACTCCACCGTTTTAAATTACTCGTCTCATTGACTATTCAGAGTGCTAAAAGTTAATTATATACTCCCTCTGTCCCACTATTTTGGGACATGAGAAAGTGACATTGAAATTAAGAAAAGTAAGAATCTTTGGTTGATATTGATATTAAAATGTAAGATAAAGTCAGAATAATTGTGAACGGTG